GCGGGGGGGGATAGAAACCTGCAACAATTTTCAGTTTTCAGACTAAACAAAGTCTTTTAACAAATATGCTCATCTTATTTTAAAATTTTTCTCAATTAAACTTATTATTTGAGGTCTTTCTTTCTCTTTCGATTAATTCTGTCCAAGCCCTTTCCCTTTGGTCTTAGTCTGATCCTTAGAAGTGAGATAAGCATCTGATGCAGCTAAATTGGCAATCGAGAAAAAGTCTCTACATCTGATCTAATGGTTAGCAGCTACAAATCATCATTACAAGTAGGGCTGTTTCAATACATGTAGTTCATAAAGCACTTTGTTTAAAGGTATATCCTAACAATCTTTGAAATGAAATGAAATTTGTCAAACCTAAAATTTCCAGTAGTGTAATGAGACTCTTAAAGAGTCTTCAGGGTGTAGCTGAGTTAACACAAACAAAAGTCAGCATGAAGCAAAGTTTTTGTAATGCGAGAGTCATCTAATTTGTTCATTCAGTTTTCATGTGGTTGCAGTATGTACGTATGTATGTATCACGCCACTGCTGTGCATATGTCTTTATTTGTTTACATCCATGACATTTCAGGTTAGATATTTCATCACATTTTGACATTGGTGATGCCAAAGGTTTACCCAACATTAGTACTTCAGTGTTGGGAAAAGCTATATATCTAAGATATACTGTAAATGTAGATATACTGTATGGGAATGTCATTCTTTAGCAGCACTGTAAGTAATTGGCACTTACTTGATGGCCTCACACATGTCAAGACCCATTTTCACACAGTTCTTAGCATGGTTCGGCAGAGACTCCGGCAGGCCGGACACACAGTAGTAACAGTCGCCAAGGATTTTTATCCGCATACATTCATTTTCCTGCATATTAATAGGGGGAACACAGTCTCAGTAACACAGAGTCAGATAAATGTCTCCCTGACAGACAGTACACACAGCATTTTGATCTTTCAGTGAATATCCACCCTTTTAATTCCACATGTCATACAGCAACATTCTGTTAGGGTCTATTATTATTACAGTGAGTGGAAAAATTTGAAGCTCTCTATATTTTTTTCAATCTCTATTTTTGTACATGTATGACTGATGTATGAAGCTCTTGTTCTTTCATTTTGACAGGGTAAAAATCAAAATCTGTGTATGTGTAACAGTACGTTTACCAGTCCTAGTTAAGATTGGTGGGGGGAAATTAAGATATGTGCAGTACATATTGGTTTGCATCTGCACTGTATATATCTCAATGTAAAGTCATATCATCTATGTTTGACCAGATATTTGCAGAAATAAGACGAACACATCGTGTCGCAATAATAAATGGCCATAAATGCAAGATATATCACAAAAGGCTGGTTTATAATAGCCTTATGTATTTAGGGTTTTTACACTTGTTATAGATTTTACACTTTACAAGATGTGACAGTAAGTAAGATGGATATGAGTTTCATCGTTTAGCCATCCAACACTTTGTTAGGATGTGTTGCTTGGTTCAATAATGAAAATGTTTACCTTGGCAATTTGATCAAATTTGCCAAACAGCTCATTCAGCATGTGCACCAGCTCTCCAGGTGAGCAGTCACTGGCCAGCCGTGTGAATCCCACTATATCAGCATACAATATACTAGAGATGGAACAATATATATTAATCAACATACTATAATATAATATAATGATTATATACATTTTCCAGGGATAAATGTAGCTTTCAAACCCATTAATATATATTTGGGCTGTTCTACATGTAATCTGTACTCACATATACAGTATGTGTCACATATGTGCCCTGTACATGTAAATACAAATAAATAATACATGCCTGACATTAGTGTGTCTCTGGACATAGAGGTTGTGAAAATTGTTTGTGTTCTCAATCTGGCCAAAGTTTGGGCCCTTCAGTCTCTGGATGATCTCAGCTTTCATCACCCGCGCAATGTGAGCTGGTAGCAGAGACAACAGGAGACGCTCCTGATGGCAGTAACATGAAGAGAAAAGAAGAAGTAATACATGGATGGTCAGGAAAATCAAGGAAAATAAGCAGACTATTACAGTTTAATACCTAAATGTGAGTGATAAAGTCTTATCACTGTGTACACAAAGGTACAGCAAAAATATAAATATGAAAAGATGCCCAACAGTAAATTCATTTGTTTTAGCTTGAGAGTATTTTCTCACAAGAATTAACTGCTGGAATCACCCCCTGTTTGTCAGTGGCATGACCCATTATTAAGTATAATTAGAATTAATGCAAATGCAAAACCTTTTGAACCAAAATAAGCTTTCAGATCCAAAGTTTGGATATTTATGTAATCAAAGTGTAATCACCAGGGACCTTGACTTGAAAAAGTTTTACATTTTCAGCAAATGGATATTTAATTGAATTCAGTCCTAATCTAATTCTGAAGCATTAACCTTTGATGACAGAAGACAAAAAGCTGTCATCATTACATTGCCGGCCTCAATGAAAGCTTCAAGTGCTAAGTGAAGGTTAATTGGGCACTATATTGTGTCAGGTTGACTTCCTGTAACTCATAACTATGAATGTAAAAAAAGTTGTATCACAGTGCTCATTATTCTATTGCCAGCCACCAGACAGACTCCACCGTTATTGCCTCCCTACTTTTCTTTTATTTAGTGGTAACTTAACAATCTCTCCCTGAGTCTCTGAGGTTAATGTAGGTATTATTCTAAGCTAACCTGCCTCATAATTAGCAAATAAAACTCCTCTTAGAGTGAGGATAAGTTTAGGATTGGAGAAAACACTTCATTAAGACAATGTCACCTCCAACTTAACATATTTTCTGCACCATTGAGCCTCTCCCTACATCGCTGCTGGGGCTCAGAAGGTTTATGGTGCCTGCTAACAAACACTGCCAGGGATTTGGTTTTATGATAAATTCACATAGTCCCACTTGGACCACTCGATCTGAAAATGTATGCACTCACTGTACTGCAGTGCAGGGCACTTTGGATAAAAGCATGCAGCAAACAGCATATATTATGAGCGCCTGAGAGACATGTGTCTCTGCACAGTTACTACCATCTGTCGCAGGCAGCAGTAGCACTCCAGGGCTACTGCGAAGCAGTCCACCCAAGGCATTTTCAGTTTCACTCATGGTAGTTGTAACAACACAAGCTGCATTCACCATAGGGATAACCAGCTCCACCCCAAGCCTGGGCTTACACAACAGCAGCTGGATTCGCCTTTATCTGACTGAGTAGCTACCCAAAATCTACTACTGCAGCAGCTGTAGTAAAAAGCTAGCTACAACAAAGACTCACACAGAAGTAAGCTTTAATCAACACCTTGCTCATTTTTCACAGGAGGCCACACTGCTCATGTGCAGCAGCACCAAATTCACCTGCATTATTTGCACACAACTGTTCCAACACAGCATATGGAGACAAGCACAAATGCATATACACATACAATGTTTGAAATGGCACCCACTCACAAACAGTAATCAAGTAAGTTTTTAGAATGTCAATGGGGTTATAAAATGAAATGGATACAGATTCAGTGGGACAATAAAACTTAACAATCATAGGTTTTGTGTAAATCTTATATGCAGTATTTGAGATATTGTATGTGACCAACAGAATATTTAACAAATGTTGTGTAGCCCCCCATTACATTAAACAATGTACTTGCAGGTATTCTTATATCTTGTTAATCAACTGCAAAGATTTCAGCCAGCAGTCTTTGGATGCTAAAGAGCTTTTACTACAGATAATTTAGTACATGCAGTGGGCTCCAGGGACTCAACATAATCATCACACTAGCTGAGGTCATTAACAATTACCACATTCTGTAAAACACAACCCCTGACACAAATCCTCTGTGGACTCTATCCTTTCACAAAGGACTCAGGCACTGACAGTTAAGATATTCCTTTAATAGCCCCACAATGGGGGTGTAATATATATATATATATATATATATATGATTGTTAAGTTATGATTGTTAAGTTTTATTGTCCATATATACACACACACCATCCACACACAAACTATATATATATAATATATAACACATTTTAGGTAAAAGTCTGCAAGCACAGCAAAGAGATAAATGGTAAATGCCTGCAGAGTAAATATTTAACACCAATTTGGCACAGCGAGTATGAAATGCACATCTACATTGATAAAACAAAAAATAGCTTTAAGACGCTTGAAGATGCAGTGAGGATTTTATCAACAAAAACCCCTTTTGGATCGACATCAGTTATTTTACTGTGGATTAAATATCATTCTTCAAGTCCTGGGTGTGCCATAATGTTGTTTTAATTTATTTACTTGTTGTCATCATCATCATAATCATCATTATCATCACTGCAACACTCTTCTCATTCATAAACATATTCACTCCCTAACATTTTCATTATTGTAATCCACACCATCATCATCATCACCTTTATTACTACCACAAGTACTCAATCACTCGCTGCCTGCCTGACTTGCACTGGCTCACAAGTCATTACGACTTATTGACACCACTTTACCTGTTGTCTCTTCTCAAACTCCAGTTTAATTGGGGACTTGATGCAGTTGCAGGTGTCCTGATAAGTCTGTTTAAGTGCCAGCTCCATTAGGTGCTTGTGGTACGCCCCCGCCATGTTGCCACACATGAAAATGATAATATTGGCCAGAATCTGTACAGGAACAGGGGACAGACAAAACAGGTATTAGAAAAATATCAGACAAAAATAATTGGGTTAGGGTAAAGTCATTTATATTAATGGGTAAGTAAGTAAAATTTATATGAAAGAACAAAAACAGCGCTGTAAAATGGAATACATTCAACAATACTATCTGTAGGTTTGTTATTTATAGTACACAAATGAAACAGGCAGTGTCAGAAAAGCCATTTTATCTCAAGTGGCCACCGTATAAAGACAACTATACACCTCAGATCAAAGATCAGGGAAACAGTAATGTGTTTTCATCAATTTAAGGCCAGAGGAGGCAGTGGGTTTTAATGAGATGTAACCAAGACTAAAGAAAAACCTCCACTCAAAAATAGGGCAAAGGCTTTTCGTTGCGGTTACTAGGCCCTGGCAACTGAGATCCTGATGAGACATTGACGTCCAGCAACACATACTGTATTAAGGGGAAAGTAGCATTCATAAACAACACAGCTTAATTAATTTTCTTGTGAATTGGTCAGTAACAGTTCCCACCCATTGTTGGTCTCAGAATTATTAGAGAAATACAGTACAATGGTAAGATAATGGAATTAGATGTGTGTGAACTCTATGATGCCACTGCTCAGTTGTTGATTGCCTAAAAATAGCATTATGTATTCTGCTTATCAGCTGTACAGTGGCTTGATCAACCTCCCCTCCACCCTGCTGAAAACAGTATAACTGAAAACTAAATCAGAAATAAATCCAGTGGCTAAGGATGTGTCTGGACCTCTGGTCTATATAAATAGACTTGCCCTTGAGTTCAAGTTCATCTCACACAAGGAGGCCTGTCTGTTCCTTGATTAGTGTTATTATAGCAAACACCACATCCCACTACGAGCTCTATTTGACAATGGTGTTGCTTAAGTGATGAAGCTGCTTTTAATCATAGTCATACTTGTGTAACACTCACTGCTGACATGGATCATCATGATGTACAATACATCTATCCATCCATCTATCCATCTATCCATCTATAGGGAGATTGCTCATTTTTATTTTTACTAAGCATTTTCTTTGACATTACCTTCAGGCCACAACATTGTATGCCCCTTTTTGCTTTAAGGATATGGAATATTAGGAAAGATGCCTCCATATTCCATCCATTCAACAATTTTGTCTTCCAGTGTGTACATGGCAGTAAAGCCTCACTGCGCCACAAACATTGCTGTATACAGCTATTGTATTGTTAGTATCCCACTATAACACCAGACTATACAAATTAAATATGATAAGTGTAGTCTATTCTGTATTTTCATTTTGAAAAAAAAAAACGGTGCTTTATTTTCTTTCACATTTGATGCATCCCTCATGGCAGCACTACACAGGAGCAATTATGATAGGATGTGACCTAGAGATGAAAAGTGAATGTATAAAGGCCAAGAAGCATCAAAAACCTTTATATTCTGCAATTTAAAGAAAATGGACAATTTAATGGTTCTCTACCATTACATTTGAATGCACAGTCCCATTCTTTTTCCACTTGTTTGTTTGCCTGTCTCATTCTCTCTAATTTCCTTTTCGTCTTTCTTTCCAGTTGACCTTGTTGTCACACGGACCATTGCAATTTGCTCTCTATTTTCTGACGTAAATGTGCCCAACAGATTTACATTACAGTACCAGGAAAATAAGCATGTGACCTTTTGCACAGAGAACAGACATTTTGCTCAGGAAAAATAATCAGATGGAGAAAAAAAAACTACTCATCCCACAAGCTCATGTACTCAGTCCACTGCAGTACAAAACCAGGGTAGTTGTATATTGTGTTAAAAGATTTATATAAGACTTTAAAATAGAAAATATAAATCTGTGGATCTTTTTTTTTTACAATATAAAACTAATTTGTCTATCTATTCTACAACTGCAAGCCAGACAAAGGCAAATACACGAGTACCTCTCACAGACAATCTGAACATACATTTATTTCATATATGGTTGCAAACCTGCTAACAGTAAAGACACGACACCTCCTGCTGTTCCATCTTAAATAACAAGATAATGATTAGCCATCACACAGATGCATACAGTAGCCTTACTGAGAAAACAGGATCTGATTTGTATGTTCAGACACACAAGCTGTCTTAAATATAGATCAGATGAATGTATTTAACACTGAATACATCAGCAATGTAGCAGTCTCTCCTTTATATTTGACAAAAGCAAACATCAGGGGCAGGGACCATGTGCATGAGTGTACTGGCTGTGTTCACATTTATTCATTGTATTTGAGACAGACGTCCCTCTTGCTAGCCACTGAATTTTTTATCTTTTCTTTGCACATTTCCAAATACTGAAAGAAGACACATAACCGGAGTTATTTTTTCCAAATTAAAGGCATTGCATTTATAAGCCTGGCTTAGTGCATGTGTGTTTATTTCCTATAGAAAGTCTGACAAAACAGTCTGAACTTTGTGCTACAGAATAGTGTTCAGGCCATCGGGTTCAGACAAGTACACTGAATGACTGAAAGCAGACACGACAAGATTTATTGCGGCCTTTGTAAGCTGCTTAATAAAAGGGTTTTTAGCAGCCCATATATTGCATGCAATATTTTATAATCTCACTTTGAATAAGCATCATCATATTTAATTGAAACTCTATTCAGCTACCCATTCATTCTGTCTTTGTGAGCCTGTCAATTACAAATTAGCGGCACTACACGACCAAAAACAACAGCCAGAAGTACCTGTTTGCAGTTTTGTAGTCCTTAAACCTACAATAGATGTGAATTACTTCTTTGTGGCTGGTGGGGGTGGAGGTTTAAAAAGGTATGCTACAAAAAGCATAAGCATAACAAACTTAATATTAATAAAATAATATTTTAATATGTTCTGACAAACCCCTCATCCAGTGGGTCCTCAAATAATATAAAACAAACAAAAAAAACATGAAATCAACTTGTAAACAGTTGCCTTTATGTATACTTTTGTATTTTCTCAGCAGATTACATTCAGTTAGACCTGGGTGCTACTCTATTAGCTGACATCTGTTAGACAAGACACTGTCAGTGATCCAGACCATCTCAAAGGTCAGCTGTGTGAATCGACTGGCTGTGTGAACCATCCGTACCTCACTGGTACCCAATTACAGATAACGCCGGGGTTAGGTGAGGATGGCCTCTAAAGGGCTTTGAGCCCCGCTGGTGAATTCTAGGATTATCTAAATCAGAGAGCAAAGCCCTATGCAGGCTATTATGGCTGTTATTATACTACCATGTGTAGAGGAAGACAACCATCTAAGATCAATGTGAAGGTGAATCTTGTGTTAATAACCTATAGGCAACAGACATCCAGCAGACATGTTTTCATTGTTAAAACTGAAACTGAAAAATAAAAATAAACAATACAATTCTCAAGAGAGAAGTGTTGTTGGAAACCTAACGTACATCCTGTATGACATAAAATGAAAATGTGGTCTCTAACTGCTCTAAAGAGACAAGAAATAAGAAACCAATAAAAGTTTAATATTAAGTCAGCAAAAGTAAAAACCTTCATTTGGATTCAAGTGAAGCCTTACTTCTCAAATAGGTAATATGCAACAGCTGCTATCACTGAGAGTCTTTCAAATAAAGCTCAAATAGAGTTATTAATTGTTGAGTGTTGAATCATCAATAATTCATCACAGCACTCACAAAGAATGCAAATGAAGTTTGTTTTTGGTCTGAGAGAGGAGATTGTGAAATAAAAGCATGATAGGCGACTTACATTAATGATATTCAGTATTGCTGTGAAGCTAATCACAGCACCGAGTCTAAAGTCAATTTGGATAGAAATTATTGCAAAATTCTACAGATACATTCATTAAAAAGGTTACGGACTTGGAATAAGAGACCTTTGTTACATTATACATGTTTTATCCTCAAAGGGAAGCTTTGCAGATTTTCAACCAACTTTGTATCAAACCATGCAAATTAGCATGTAAAAATGTGGATCAAACTGTCAAACTAGGAGTGCCTATCAAATATGAATCAAGATTCTGTTACTGCATTGCCTATTTTTCACCTCCAATGTTTTTATAAACATATTTTAGTGAACTGTTTAGTTGTAATACAAGAAAGTTTGTGACTAGGCCACCATTTTGTTCTGCTTGGAATCGGAAGAGCCTAATCCAAGCACCACCCAACCCGCAGTACGTCACCCACCAGCCAGTCCAGTGTGGCCCAGTGAATTCTGGTTGTGATACCTTTTGAGCAAAATGAAATACCACAGGCCTTTCCTATGTTTTCTGGTCATGTGGCAACAATTTCAAAAATATGTGCGTCTTTCTACTGCATAGACAGGCCAGTTTTATGGCCATCTTTCCAGCGTCAAAATACCCCTTTAAAGAGAGCATCAGCTGTAAATCAGAGCTGTGTAGAAAGACCACAAATATTTTAAGTTTTCAGATCATTCTTCACACATTTAGGTAATAGAGAATATAGACATTTAGAAAACTACCAATATAATAATGTACCAATACATCACTCTTGCACACAGCCCATGCAAATAAAAGAGGAACTAATTATTTCTAAATGTCTATCTAAACCCAACAGAGGGCTTTCACCTCTTTAATAAATGAGCTGGTTCATTAGGACCCCAATGAGCTAGCACTGTAAAGATTAATGGACTTGACAAAGTGGAATTGTCAGCATGATTCCTTCGCACTTAATACCCCCTGGGCAGTTTGCATGCACAGTAGAACAATGCACAAGAGTGGGGACATTTACAAATCTCTAGGATGATAGACTGGCGGTTTATTCAACAAATTGCTAAGTCTGAAAAATTTAGATGATCTGAGATAAAAGTAAATAAAAAAATCCAACATACCACTAAAGCATGCATACTGACGTAACCATGTGTGTAAGTACATGTGCCTGTGCATGCATGTGTGTGCTTCTGAGGAAATAGATTGACATTTAAAACACGCTTATTCACTTTCTTGTTGAGAGTTCGATGAGAACATCAATTACATTCTCACATCTATATGGAAAATATGTAGCTAGAGCCAGCAGACAGTTAGCTGAGCTTAGTCTGAAGACTGCAACAAGGGGAAAACAGCTAGTCTGGCTCTGTACAAGGGTAACGCCATTTTCCTACCAGGAACTCCAAAGCTTACTTAATTAAAGTTTTGGGAGGGGGTTAGGTGTCAGATTTCTTGACCACGTGCAGTCACTTCCTAGAGTCTCGTTGTCACTGTGAGATTGCCTGGCAACCAGCAGACTCTAAAGCGAGTGGCATCAATTTCATTATCCAACTCTCGTCAAGAAAAACCCACTTATTCCTTTTAAGGGCCTCCAGACTGTTTGATCAACAATGTACTATTTTATGTCTGCAAGGGGTTTATTTAGCCATTATCCTTTTTTAGGCAGCAAGAAGACAAAGACAACATTTTCGTTGCCATTGGCATGGTTAAAGATGATCTGAATCTGCCTGGTACAAATAGTCCTAAGCTGTAAAATATTGGGCAGGGAATCATTACTGAAACAGTTATGGGCTAAATGTAGCAAATGTTTACATCAACAGATTTTCATAGGATAACTAGAGGGATTAAGACGTGAGGCTAACAGGGATGAAACACACAGTCCAGTATGCAATTGGATATCTATGACAAACTTGGTGTTGGCTAACAGTTGATTTATTAGTGTTAACTGTTCAGAAAGATTGCAATACATTGCTGTGTGCTCTTAAAAGAAAAAAGAAAAGTAGGATGAAAAAGAAAATTAGAGCCTTTAATTCCACATGGTGGTCTGTAAGTCAGTGGCTTGTTTTTTGACACAGAGTAAAAACACAAGTAGCTACAGGATGACCGGGACAACACATTAGACTTCCTGTCTCTCTCTACTGTTGTTTAGTTTATAATGCTTAATGTTTTAAGTTTTATTTTCACTCGAGGTTCACTTGCTAGCATTGTCCAGAGCTTTCAACTGCATCCCATGGCCCTCTCCAGCAAATTTGACTTATTCAGGTGTCATGACGGGACCTAAGTACAGACTTCAGCGCCCTTAAACAACCACTGGTTATGTACTTAGGTCAGAGCTGTGGGATTGGTTGAAAGTTCTGGGAAAAGCTAGTCAGTGAGCTGTGGCTTCACAGTATTTTATCACAAATAGAAGTCTTTTAAAATCGGGGGAACGTTCCATCAAGCTGCTGGTCCTGCACCAGTATAATGAAAATATTTTAAAAAAAATGCTAATAGAGGTTTTTGCATGGTATGGTATTGGTATTGTTAGAATACAATTTTCCTTGTGATTTTTGTATTGTTGACGAATTGTTGCCTGATATTCACCAGTCCAAATACTGACAGAGTTACTAATTTGTCTTATTAAAAAAATAAAAATAAATAAATAAATAAATAAATAAATAAATGAGCCATAGTTGTACTTCATACCAATGAAGCTTGCAATATTGTTTATGGATACCAGTGAATTTTTTTTATTACCCTGTTTTAAATTTTTCAAAAACGTGTGAAAACACAGATGCAGTGATAAGCTGGTTAACACCACAGAAATTGGCTGGTTTAATTAAAGTTTAATTCCAAAGGACAGATCAGCCTATTTCTACCAAGAACCTTAGCCTGCCTTTTATCTGATAATGAGAACCAGCACCCCACTACCATAAGTGTTAAACTGAGTAATCATCAGGTACCCTCAAAGAAAGCACTCAGGGTGCTGTTTCCAATCACATTGAATGTACTTCCATGTGATTACAGAACAAAGCAATGAGAGTTACATAGCACAAGTGACAGGTGTAAAGTTAAGTATCATCACTGTTAAACTGTAGAAAAAGGCCATTTATTGAGCTTTGAAAATTTCAGCAACTTCTGCTTTTTGAAACTGGTGTTTATTTATACGCATTTTAATGCTCTAACGTTACCATTTTTTTAACAATTTAACAAAATATGTGGACAGTCTCTTCCTACAAGAGGCACCATTTTTGGAACTCTGTGCCAAGTGTCCTTAACCAATTTACAAAAATATAAAAATAAAAAAAATAACAATTTGTAACCTGAATGTGGAAAATGTGTTTTTCCTTCTTTTATACATACACTGATGAGCCATAACATTATGACCACCTGGGCACCCTGGCATGATAACGAGATAATCAGTGTTATTCACTTCACCGGTCAGTGGTCATAATGTTATGGCTGATCGGTGTATACTTGTACCACACTAAATTACACCAAAATATTCCCCCACCATCATCATAACCACAAATACAAACTTGGCCCAAGCACAGTCAACAAACAGATAGAAACAACATCACTATCAGTGACAACAAATAAAATACTGATAAGAAGACAGAGCAGCCAGGATTTGGCGGAGCCTCTGTTTACTAGAAAGCATTTCGTTCCTTGGCAATTTCACATCTAGCCCGGCATGTCATCTTGACTGCCGAATGAGCAGCAATCTGTCTCCTTCCAAAAATGCTTCTGTAACTTGACACACACACATAGACCGTAGAAAATATTAAGAATGCCTTCCTGATAGGTCTGTCACAGGAAAAATAAATGCCACGAACAAGACAATATCTTCATAAGCAGGTGGAATGAAAAGGCATCACACTTTATTTTGATTCAGTTGTGATTTCTCCTCCCCTTGCTATTGTCTCACCATATTCCTGATAGAAAAATGTTTTACCTATCACAGCCTACAGCTCATATATATATATATTTCAGTTACAAGATGGAGAAGACCTTCGAATGTATTTTGTATACTGCATTTTTGTATTTTGCAAAGATCTGAAAGAGATTTCTCATATGTTCCTTTATCCTGGTATCACTGTTATTTTTGTTTTGTCATTTCCATTGTCTTGACTTTGCCTCTATGTTTCTTTCTTTGATTTAGTTCTCTTACGGTCTTAGTATGTTTGTCTGTCACACTTGTCCATTACACTTTCCTAATGTTTCGTGCCTTTCTGTTATTCAGTTGTCAATGACAACAGCACTGGCCAATTAGCCTAATTTTGTTAACATTATCCTCTCTCACGTTCATGGCACATGAATAATACATAAAGTCAATAGCTGTCGTGTGTTATTTTTTAAATTAGACTGATGCTATCCTATATTTATATATTTTATATTTATATTAAGGAACACCTCTCTCTGGCAGATTTTCCACTGGGATTGTGCTGACAGGCAAACTGACCTGATGTGCAAGCGGAGCTGGCTGATAGTGACCATGCAGCATACAGCCTCAGGCTGCCCGGATGCCAGTATGCCCATGAAAGACATGTAGGCTCTTCAGAGTTCACAGAGACAATATAGAATAGTTGGACAATATGTCCTTTGAAATAGTATTATTGTTTATTGTTGTCCTCATGCTTGAAGCTGTCCCAAACAACAATCTTTCCAAAAGACGGACTTCTGAACATAGGGTATCAATGCTTTAGAGATGCCTGCAAATAATCTGAGCGTGGCAGTCAGACTGTATGATAGAAAATTGTACCATTAAGATGAATAACCATTTATGATAAATTGTTTATTGTGAAGCCACAATTCAGACAGACTGTAATTTAGCAACAGGGCAAACAAAAAGCAGTACACAGAAAAGATATAAAAAGGGCAGTTTACATGTAGAAAGTCACTGTGATGAAGATAATAATTATAAAAATTATTATTATTATTGGCCTTTTTGTATGCTAGTGCCCTTTGTGATTTGGCTCTGACATGTTAAATTGCATCCTGTCTGAAATTACCATCAGTGAGGTGTGGCTTTTGTTACATGCTTGTTAAATTAATGTTGTATGCATTAGTTGAAATTACCCGTAGGTGTATTGGCAGTCACTGACTTTTCAAATCAGGTTTAAACAAGTAAAAATAATTAACATCTGCATTAACCAGATAATTGGCTTCCTGATATTGTTATTTCTTTGTCTTTCTCAGCATGTGCCAACTGCCTGAATAGTTTGCACTTGAAACAGCAATACTGCAGGAAAGATGGTGACCTTTTAACAAAGCATAAAAAAAACACATTAGAATTTCTATCGCTCACCTGCTATGCTAACTTAGTTTTAGTTTAAAAGGTCACATTTGTTTGTTTGCTAAAAATACAGACTGTATGGTTAAAATTACCAGAAATGCTCATTTTGTGAGCAGAATGGAGAAACACTAAATGTCTGGAAAGGAAAAACAATTCCATTAGGATTCCATCTGGATAATAAAACAAAACAACATTGGTTTCACTTCCACTGAAGTATGGATTTGGCAGGATATACCCGTTTGAAGCTGTGTCTAAGGGTTACAAGTTTAAAATTTAATTAAAGTGGATTTTCTTGCTCCACCATACAGAGTATAATTTGAATGTTTCATACAGTATGAATCCTGTTGTTGGCAGCAGGATGCCTGTTTGTATATAAAACAGCTTTGTATGTTCATTTGCTTTAGGTACAGCAAACCCCTTCAGTGAGTTATGTAAAGACAAGTGAGACACAATTTTGAGCATAACTGATTATGGCGATATATGGCAATAAGTAGGAAAATAAAAACCCTGGTTAAAAATATCCAATTTATTCTGTAAGCATTATTTGTCTACTTAGGGTTCACTGAATGTTAGTAAATTAATAAAAGGAAACAATCCCTATTTCCAGCCTGGACAGGGCCAAATCCTGGAAGTTACTGGTCCCAGCCAGTAAATAGTCCAGCACATAACCCCCTATGAAATGGAGAATTGTTGGTTTTACACTTCGGTTTTTATTTTTACTTAAACAAGATAAAACATGATCATTAGTGAGCTTCTGAGATGCTGCTAGATAGATTTACCTTTAGACAGAGCCAGGCTAGCTGTTTTACCAAGAAATCAAATCACAAATGAATACCGATTTATTAAATCAATTGCGTTGAGTTTAAGTACACAGCGATGTGCACATATTTTGTAGTTAGTCTCTGTTCTTTAGCATATCAAGTGTGTCTCCTACCATTAACCCACATGTATGTTTGATCACCTTACCTGCCAAACTACTGGCTCCATGTGATCAGCTGTGGTGGACAGGCAGACACTCAACACAATGGTGTGAGATGCAGAGGTCAGGACACTGGCGATGATGGCATCCCGCATAGAGAACGGCAGCATGGTGTAAACCACAAACACAATGAACAGGAAGAATGACACCTGTGGAGAAAGAGACACACTTGTGACACACCTGCAGAGGAATGCAATCAAGAGAGAATGAGAAAGAGAGCAAGAGCAATGGATGCACAAGAAAAAAAAATACAGAAAGTATCAGTGTTTACAGCCCTGTGGGGGGAAAAAGAACATGACCACTAAGTCTGAACACCAACAACACTGCTTGCTAAAATGAAGTTTATTTATGTACAGCTACATCAGTGGCATCCAAAAATAACGAATATAAAAATCATGTCTGCTCAGGGAGGTATTCAATATCAAGCTAGACACTAAATCATAAAAGGAAAATGGAGGAAAGAACATGTATTTGTGCTATTAAACATATGTCAATGTTGTGCACTAAGCTCCACTGATTGCAGGAAGTGGAAAAAGGGAATATCAGCTCTCACATTTCAAACCTGACACCTCTGATGTAGCATGTAGAGTGCTCCCTTTTTTACCCAAACTCCACACACATACAAATACAAATAGGTACACGCACACACTTCTCAAATACGCCTTCTGCTGCAGGGTTAAAGCAGCTCATCTGCTATCATGCATGGATAGAAAGAGGCCAGTGTTTTTACAGGCTGCAGCCAGGTGCCAGTTAACCTTTCTCTGGCTATTTGCAGGGCTAGTTTGTGGGGGGAAGTGAGATGGAAAGAGGAAAGGAGAGCATGAGAGAGGGAGAGCAAGTGAAAATGAGACAAACAGTATCTCCTCCGTTAAAGCCTGGGCACAAGCATACGGTTTTGCACAACCATTTTCTTAAGGGCTGACTATGGCAGTGAATATAAATAGTAGCAAATATCAAAGGATGGTCTGATACCTTTAAGACAATGCTTTATTCATGTATAAGTTAAAAGTGTGCTGAAGTAAGTAATATGTCTTCTGCATTTGCAGACCTCCTGCTGCTACACTACAGATAAAAGTAGGATATATTTACTAATTAGCCTAATGATGACCATCTGTTTTAAACTAGCAACAGACAGAATATACTTCAATATTAGTGCAAGACATAATATATGGTAAATATATACTATACATAAATGGCTTTTTCCAGCTATTATATTCAATTTACAAATGCATTGTAATAGGATCATAAATCAGTGTTTTCCCAACTGATACTTCCTGCAAAATGTGTTTTGTGTGAAGGTTTTTGGCTGCTGATAAATGATATAAATGAAAACTGTCATTTTCTTTTGTACAAAGAAAAGTATTTAGCAACCTAGTTAAAAGGTACAATTTAACAATTAAATGCCAAAACATTGCATGTTCATGCAGTGACAGCCGGTCAGTAGAGGGCACACCTGTGGCGCCCCACCAACCACAAAGCTTAGTTTAAAGTCAGAAAGCATAATGAATTATTGCGAAATAAAAATGCATTTGAATATTATTTGATTTAAGCTATATCGTGTAAAATTAACAGCAAAAATTTGTTTATTTTAGTTCTTTCCTAATCCTGTTGTACTGGCAACCCTGCAATACAACAACTAACAGTTTATCATCATTGATATGTTTATAAAAGTTCATCTTTGTATAAGTTCAATATACAATTTATAAATGCCATCATTCAAGCTGTACCACATCTGCCATACTGAAGATGGATGTCACTCACTGTCAGTATAGTATGGTCTTTTCAGAAATAGGCAATAGCATCTTGATATATTGGTAACCCGATATATCACGAACCATAATTCCCTGCATGACTGCCACTAGAGAATAGGTGCAATCTTTTGACAGTAATTTACTGCACTATGGGGATGAAGAAGGAATTAGAAAAAAAGAATCCCTTTCAATAAAGATTATGTTAGGCAACCCCTCATACAATCAGTTGGCCCAGTTTTTGAACAAATGAATTACAACAGAAAGAAGAGAAAAGGAGAGAGAAGCCACTGGATAAGAGTGAATCTTGGACTGGCTAGTTTTTAAACATAACAAATACACATGTACAGCTCTACATATTTACAATGCACCTGGGGGCAGAAAATTGCAACAAATACGTAATATGGAGTAAATATGGAATACTGAAAGACTTAACTGTCCTCAAAAATAAATTCTGAAGTCTGCAGGAACATTGCGGTGTTTCTTTGTCTCTCAACTTTCACAGTAGCACATTATATTTTCAAATAAAGCATGCCACTCGAGTCTGTTCTAAACACCAACACAATAACAACACACAACAATAATACTGTACTGAATGTCAGGAGTGTAAAAAATGCTGGTCTGTACAATGAACAGACCACCTGTGACTGAAAATGAAAGGTATGAATTCAGACTTAAAGAAAAGAATGTGACAATATGTCATGCCTGGATGAGCAGCAGTTGTAGTAATAGCTCCTACTGTTATTTCCTGCAGTCTATACAGAGCAGGAAGCTATATTCAATTTCTTATTAACAAACGAAGACTCTGTCAGGCTCTAACAACCATGGTACCAATGACCTTTTTATTGTGGCAGTCTATGTTTAAAGGGGCTGTGCAGGGAGTATTGTTTATGGTTTTTTAAATTTGATGCAATGTAAGACAGAAATATATACTGTAGCCCAGAGTCCTGCAAGGGTCCAGTTTTGCAAACCGGCACCCGCAGAGCTCAGAACCGCCCCGTTACCCACAATTATCCACTGACACCACACGTTAAAATAAGAGCCAATCTGAAATGTGACACGTTTATTATTTTCTGCTGTAGTCTACACATATTATCTTTTAAAGAACTGACAAACAGCAACACTTAGAGGTGACCTTGTTTTTCTTTGTTATTCCCTGCAAGAAAATCATTTATGGACAATTTAAATCATTTTTCAATTATACAGGGTTGCAAATAATTGCTAGAAACATGTTTCTACACAAAATGGCAATTTATTGAGGTAGTATTATACTACACAAGGGTATAATTACGCATGATCTAGGCCTACGTACAGTAGGCAAAACAGACCACATAAACTCTGCATGCCACCTGAATTGAATTTAGTCCTTGTAGCAGTCAGGAGTAAAGATGTAAAAACTTTAAGCTCATTGTGACTCAAAGTCTCAGGGAGCTACCAATTATGACTCAGAACTTAGTCAATATAAAGCTCTGGAGACAAACAGTGGGCCATACTGTAACCTGGACCTTTATACAGGGAGCTATGACTCAAGCTGTCCTAAACAACGATAAATACATTTAATGTGTGCACTAAAGAAAAAAAGACATAGGTATGTCGGATATGTGGCCGCAAAACAGAGGTTTGAAAGACAGGAACTGTACAAAAGTTTGAATTTATATTTATAATTTAAATAACACATATGAACACTAGCAGACAAACACTGATGACTTAATAGTACAATTTATCCTAATGTTCTAGTTACCCTCCTTACATAATTCCACTCAATATGAAATTATATAGCCTTATAATAAAGACATTCATAGTCCTTACACATATGAAGGCTTTAAGAGTGTTTTCATTTCTTTCAAAAGCCATATAGTCCATGAAGTGTATAATTTATTTCCAGCACACAAGAAATATAATAATGACTTTTTGCGAAACATCTGAGGTCCCCTGACCTTGGGCAAAAGCACACAATAGCTGCGGTTCCACCCAAAGTGCCCAGAACTTTAGTCCCAAGAACTACTTTTCAAGGAACTACTTCAAGGTTTCTTCAGCTTGTTGTTGTCTGCGTTTTCACCACAGTCTAAAGACCTGTGAAGATTGGCAAATGAGTCCACTGGCGTATGAAAAAGTTCTTATATGGCATGTTTGCACACAAATATACAACGTAATTTTTCACAACCCATATATAAAATAATGTCTTTGGAACTTAATTTAGCCCTTGATCCCTGTGGTGGTAAATAGATCCGCCAAAGGTTCATAGTCCCTGGGGAAAGTTCCTGCAGTGGAAATGCAGCTAAAGATTAGCAAGACACAAGATCCCGCATCTTGGTGTTAACTTAAATATCTGATTATTTCTTCCTAAGGTCGGTGATGATTTGTCTCTCTGATACAGGTCCAGTTTAATTTACTGGTCACGGCTGAACTATGACGCCCAAACTGCCCAACCTTTCCAACTGTCTCTTTTTCATCTTTATAGATCTGCCGTCTGGCATTTCCATTTTCACTTCACTACTTAAGCTGTTTACATGACTGCAGAAACCAATAGCTCCCCATAATAATCCCTTTTGCGTGACAGAAAATATTATTTTGAGTATCCAGAGAAAAGGGTCTGTTCAGTTTTTTGGTTTTTTTTTACCCAGGCAGATGCAACAGATTTAAGCCCAACAAAAATGGCACTGTACGTGCGTATGCAAGTATGGTAAGTCTGGGCGCTGTCTTATTTTATTCCCACAGTCACAGTTCAATAATGCTGGCAACAGGAGCTGGGATCCAAATGCAAACATAAAGGCAAAGTTTTTAAGGCAGTTTACTGAGAAATGGTTGCAGGAACACAAATGTATGCAGAAATGGCAGGAATGCAATCACCATCTACCAATACTCACAATGTGGGGAAAAAGGAAGTTGACCAACCATCTATTTATAGCGTGGAGCAAATAACAAAACTAAAAACAGCTGTAGAGAGGTGACTCATAGAGGTGTGAAAACTAAACAGATGTGACTAGAGGACAGGCGAGGAGTCCTGAGGGTGGTGAGGGATGGTGAAAATATAGTGGCCATTGTAATATTCCTGATTCTTTTTATCTTGGATGCCAGGATGCCAAATACACAATGAATTTTAAAATCTACAATATCAAAAAGAAAAAAAGAAAAAGAAAAAAGATTTGCAGTGCAAAATCGTTGCAGCAGGGTTGCAACAACTAAGAAAATAACAATGTAAGGTTATACAACTCAAACTCTGCAATTCAGTAAATGTGAATCTACAAGCACCAGCTCATTTAGATGTTTCCCCTCTGTGGAGGATTAAGAAAAGTGTTATTTATTCACTATGCCAGAAGAGGAATAACATATTAACTTACTTCCTTATACAAGAGAGAGCTGTTAATTGCTGACAAATATCATCTAACACAGCAACATAA